AATACCGGCTCTTCCACAAAATACCGACTTCTGAGCATGGGCCACGAAGTTTCAATCGCACTGTACGTGCGTGCCCACACGTGGTATTTTGTGGAAGAGCCACACTCAAGGGGCCAAAGAGCCGCATGTGGCTCGCAAGCCACGGTTTGCCAACCACTGCTCTAGATCTAGAGTAAGACACTTCGCCCTGGTGGGTTTGGCTCAGTGGATAGAGCATCGGCCTGCAGACTGAAGGGTCCCGGGTTTGATTCTGGTCAAGGGCATTTGCCAGGGTTGTGGGCTCGATCCCCACTAGGGGGCGTGCAGGAAGCAGCTGATTTATGATTCTCTCTCATCATTGATGATTCTCTCTCTCTCTCTCCCTCTCCCTTCCTCTCTGAAATCAATTTTTAAAAATGTAAAAATCATGAGTAAGACACTTCACTGTACAGATTCTCTGTATGACCATGCCCTTCCTGTCTGCCTTAACTAAAAGGTTCCCCCTCACCCCTGGGCTCTCCCCGCTGGCTTGCCTCTGGCTCTCTGAGGACAGGGCACACCACAGCTCAGGAAGGTGCACACACCTCTCCACAATGTAGCCACTGGGCGGATGCAGGGCTTTCTCACGCTATCTTGCCTGTTGGTACTCGCTGTTGGCCTCTCTGCCTGAAGCCTCAATTTGAGTTAGTGTCATCAAGGAATAATTGATCATGATCTCGGTCCCTTTCTTCTGTCAGATGTGACAACTCAAAATATGTTCTAAATGTGCCCCGGAGGTTTCCCAAAATACATTTCCTCAGGCTTTTCCTCACTGAAATGCATGTCAGTTTTCTCACCCAAATCAAGATCTTATAGAATATCTAAGCCAACCAAGGTTTGTTATCAGGTACAAATTTTATTTTAATTGCAAGTATTTACCCAAATCATTTTATAAAATAAGTGTTTCAAAAGTTTCAGGCAGGTGGCACCTGGTCTTGGTGATGCTGGGCACTTAGGTGATGTCATTGCATCCCTGACCTCTCTCCCCAGTGGGCATGATCCCTCCTCCAGCCACATCCCTGCAGCCTGCATCCATCTGAACGAGGACTCACTGTGATGTCTGCCTTGCTCCTCCACGGTGAGAGCACAAAGAGCAGGTTCCAGAAGTCTGTCCCCTTTCTATCCCAGGACCCAGGGCCATACTCAGCGAAGGCAGGCACCCAGAATTTGTTGAATGAATGAATAATGTCAGAAACTTTCTGTACAATTTCTACAATTCAGAGAAGCCTGAAATCTTTGATCGGATGAGATCTGCATGCTCCTCTGGTTCCTAATGGCCCCCACGGGCAAGGACCCTGATACCGATTTCCTCTAAAATGAACTTGAGCTTCTGTGGGCCTCCCCAGGGGCAGGGAGCTGGTCAGTTCCACAGGCAGCTCCTCCCATTGTTGCCTGGCCTGGTCCTCACTAACTCTGTGTGTTAAGCCTAAGGCAGCTGTGCCTTCCACCCACCAACCGCAGTTCTGTGATGCAAACCTCCACAAGTTTCCACTTGCTGTTTCTTCTGGTAGACCTGCAGATACCCACCTGCTCACCTGACCCGTGTGGGGCCTCTTGTCCCTAAAAGGACCCCCTTTCCATGCCTGGCACCCTGTCCTGGAAACATTCTCAATGGTTCTGGCCCTTCTTTCAATGTAATTCCAGGACCAGGCAGAACGTGACATAGGAGATGGTGAGGCACAAAGAGAAATGGACATGGCTGTTGTGACCTGAATATTAACAAGCCTGGGTACAAAAAAAGTGAGAGTCCTCTGGCCCTTTAAAAGCTGGGACTTCCCTGGCCAGGTAGTTGATTAGAGTGTCATCCCCATACACCAAGGTTTCGGGTTCGATGCCCGGTCAGGGCACATACATAAAACCAATGAATGCATAAATATGTGGAACAACAAATATCTCTCTCTCTCTCTCTCTCTCTCTCTCTCTCTCTCTGTCTCTCTCTCCTCCCTTCCTCTCTCTTAAATAAATGAACAATTTTTTTTAAATAAAAGCTGAAACTGTTGGTTCCCAAGCCAGGGGATTGTTCCAATGCCTGACTCTCAGCAGACGCCCCATGAAGAGGTGGCTTGGAGGAGCCTCTCTGTAAGATCTTCTCTTGAAAAAGGGGGGAAAGCAGAGAGCCCTCTCCCCGAAATCCTCATTTCACTCCGCCTTAACCCTTCAGGTCAAGGACACCGAGTGGAGGGCTGTGTGACTGTCCTACCCTCCAGGTTCCCGCAGGGGATCCCCAACCCAAGAGCCCACTTGGCCTGGGCACCCTCTGGCCATGGGGGAGGGACAGGGACTCCTCACACAGGCAGAGGCCAGGGCACGTCACCTTTTCTTTCAATGATTGTGCTTATCTCTTGAATAACAAGCCACCTTTTAGAAAGGTAAGATGGATGCACACATTAGAACAGATGAGAAATGCCACTGTTGTTTTCCAACAAGACAGCGGAGGGGAAAGGCAGGGCTGTGTGGACTGACTCCCATGCGTGCAGGCCTGAGGTTTGTGTGCATCAGGCCACGGCCACGCCCCACGCTTGCATCCAGCACCATCCCTGACATCACAGACCCAGGGCGCTCTCAGCACCGCCTCCTCCTAATTCCCAACAGCCAGGGGCCCTCAGCGCCTGGCCACGCATCGTGTGCTCACCATGGGGCCAGGGGGCACAGGGAGGAAGGACACTGCCTTCTTGAAGGAGGGGCATGGTGCTTGTAGGACCCCAGGGACTGGGGGAGGTGTCTGCTGGGGCTTGAACACACGACCATCATGGGCCCACGTCACCTGAGAGCAATGCCTCACGTCAGGTGACACACGGCGATTTGGGCAGGGATTCTGTTTTGTCACCCACATGCGATCAGGGTTTCAGACAAAGGGCGTGGTGTCTCCACTTCCTCCTTGGGAGAGAGGCTCTCAGTCCCAGGAGCAGTAGCCTCTCCCCCGATGAGGACAGCTGGTTCTGTGGTTCCCACAAGTGGCAGGACTCCGGGCCACGTGCACTGTGGAGCGTGGAGATGAGCTCAGTGCACCGGCCAGCACAGGAGCAGACTGGGGCGCAGGCCTGGCTGCTATACACACCAAGCCCTCCTCTTCCTCCCCGGACACCGTGAAAGCCACGTCCCAGTACTTACCTTTGCCCTTCTTTTCTCTGCCAGTTGAGACAGAGATAATAACTTTTAAATGCATTTTATCTATTTAAATTAAAATTCGGTCAGTTCACCTGAGGCCTCCAGTCCTGTTACTGCTCTCTACTCAGAGAACCCTGGCAACCCCAGCCCAGCCCCGCCCCAAGGTTTTGGTACTTTTTCCTCGGATTCAGTGTAAGAGCCGTGTTCGGGCTTCGTGTGGGGAAAAAGATGGCCTGGGAAAAATGAGAAATCAAGAGTTGCCCTCCAAAAAAATCTGTTTAAGCGTGTGTCTATCCTGGAGTCCACAGAAGACTTGAAGAAAGTGCCCCGGCCACCTTGGCATTCTTCTCGATGAACTAGTCTGTGAGTCATCCTGAAAAGGCGTCTGCCTAAAGGAAGACCACTATCCCTTCAGTGCATGAAGCCAACAACAACAACAAAACCACAGAGGAGTTAAGCCACCTCCTAAAGTAGGGGAAAAAGGTCTAACAAGTCTCAAGAACTCCAAGATGTTTTTATTGATTTCAAATTCCAATAGAATATGTTTTATCTAAATATTTTATCACACAACTGAAACATTGAACTTTTTTTTTCAGAAATAGTTAAATACATCAATCTAGTTACAAATTCTAATATAAAGAGTACAAAATATAATGTTATAAATTGTCTTTAAAAAAAGAAATACAAATTCTATGGTCTTTTGCATTTTACTGCCTCAAAGTATCATTAGCAAGACTGATGAAGAATGAACATTCTCCCCGTCACTGCTCACGGGCACGCGGGGCTCTGGGTGTGCGGGGACCCTCCCTTGACGCCCTGGCCCGTTGCTGTTTCCTTTCTTTGCTCAGTGAAGTAAATGTTCTGCAATTAGAACTCGGCAAAGGCAAAATCAGCAAAGCAGCATGTGCACTCCCTGCAGGTGGACACCTTCAGAGGGGAAGGTACACTGGTTCAAAGACAAGGTCCCTCTCCTGGGCACACGCCTGAAACCTCTGCGGTGGGGGCAGGGGAAGGGGGAGGGGCTTTGTTTTCAAGAAGGAATGTGTCTGTGAAAGTGCGGGAAGTGCTCGGACAGGCTGCGGTCCCCTCTGTGATGCAGCCCACACTCATCCTCGGAGCCACACTCTCTCTTGGTTGGAAGAAGGGACACTCCCAGAGCCAGCCGGCACCCTAGGGAGGTGCCACCTGCTCCCTGCAGCACCCAACAGTCCACCCTCAGGGGTGCTGAGTGAGTTTCTAGGCCCACCTGCCTTGGCATGGCTGTCTGTGGGACGTCGGAAGCCCTGTGGCAGAGTGGCCAGGCTGGGCAAGATCCACCTTCCTTCTCTCACCAGGTGGCCCCAGGTGGATTCCCAGTGCAATCTCTGTGAAAACCTTCTTCTCAGGAAACCAGTGTCTCTCTTGGTTCAGAAAATAAATAACTATTGGGGGGACCCCTTAAAGCACTTAATGCTTTCCAAAACCAAAATTGCCCAAAACCCCCTGGGCCTGAAAATGGGTGTTGTGTTTTAACCAAGGTGGAAGCTGTCCACCTAAGATTGCTCTACGCACGCCCGGGAAGCAGGTGGAAAAGTGACCGAGCCGTGGACCTGCCCAAAATCCAATTCTTCGGGCAACTGAAATGTTCATTCTTCAAATTAAGGAGTACGAGTGAGTAACCTGAAAGATCTCTATCAGCTCATCATCTGTGTGTTATCTGAAGGCGACAATGAGTAGGAGACATGAATGGGAGAAGCAGAGCGAGTGGCAGCCACGCCAGGAGCCACTGGTGGCGCCGGGGACACACACGGAGAAGCTGCAAGTAGACAACCAAACCCTTTATTGTCCAAGTCACATTAGACGCCAACACTGTAAATCCTGTGAAGAATCGAGGAAACAGCAGATCGGTAGAGGTAGTAGAAAAGTCTGGAACAGTCAGAGGTGACTTACAGGAGAGATCACGCGGAAATCATCGTTCGAAGGAAAGCAAATTGAAACACATTGGCTAAATAAATAAGAAAACACAAATCATATTAAATACTACGGCAGGGCTGACAGGAAGGCATTCACAAACCAATACAATACTGATGATCAGTGGAAGAAGGAACCACAGTCAGGCTGGAAACGGTGTGTCTCAGAGGGGGGCGTTCTAGGGGGTCCCCTCCCGTCTCTGTCATTAAGTAGAAACCTCATTTCTGGACTCCTTGCAGCTCACAATTATTTGCCCTACGATTTCACCCTCTGCTGATGCCCAGGAACCACCCCTCAGCCTGCCAGGCTCCCCAGAGAGGAGTCTCCGTGAAGACACGCCCAGCTCGGAGTGCCAGCTGGGCTCCTGGGTGCTGCTTTCCAACAGTAAGAAGGGACACGACGCCTCCGTGTCACTTTGGGTACAGACTTTCTTTAATAACTAAAACTCAGAGAAACAGACCAGGACTAAGTCACTAGCCCCTGTGTGTTCCTAAACTGTCATCTTTCACTTTCAGCCAAGAAACGAAAAGCCAGAAAATGCAGAAATGATCACTTTGGGAAAAGTATCGAAATGATCCAACATAAGTCAACAGAAAGGCATTGTGGTTTCTAAGGTGAACAGAGGAATGTATCTGCTCAAAATAACTTTACAGAACAGTCCGTCACAGTCGCTTAACCGTATTTGCAAGGACATTCCCAATTACACCGACAAGACAGGTCATTCTGGGACATATCTGGTGTAAGAATATCAGGAAAACCAAGTAAAAAATTAGATATACATACACACATATACATATGTGTGTGTGCTGTATATATGTGCATATATATATGCACATATACATATATATATAAACTAGCCAGTTACATTGCATTGTTTCCAAGTGTTGCAAAGTAACCTGAACCGTCAAGTAATTTAAATTCAGTAACAAGTAGAATCCAGAACCAAACACTAACTAATAACAATAACAACAATAATAATAATATAATAATTCAACAAATCATTAGAACAAAAAAAAAACCACACTTTAGGGTATGTGTGTGTGTGTGTGTGTGTGTGTGTGTGTGTGTGTTTAAACAACTCTTTGTATCAGAAGCCCATTTTCTACAAAAACTGCGCTAACCCATTACGGTATGAAGTAAACTGTCGCTCTCACCAGTATTAAAGGTTAAGGATAATTTCTGTACATGTAAAATTATTGCTTTTTTGAAAAATATATGTAGCATGCTCATTTTAATCCACTTCCTGCCTTTACAAAATTTCACAATTAAAAAAAACCTAGTAAAGCTTTTGCAAAAAATTTCACAGAACATTTTCATTCAAGGCAGCAGTAACTTTTGATAATGCATAAGATCCTATGTGCAAACGTCTGAAATTCTCAGAAAGGTTACCGTCATCACCCGAGTGTCACGGTACCAAGGAAAGAAACTATTTGTATCTGTGGACTGGGATCTTCACTGCGTACACTGCAGGATTTAAGATCCTCTGTTGGGGGCCTTAACCCCACCACGAAAACTTACATTTGCCTGACTGAGGAAGAGGTATATAGAGCCGCCCACCCCACCCAGGGGCCTGGGGACCTCCATGCTCTGGGAACGAGGATGCTCGCTCGTCCTGTGGGGGGCACCAGGAGGGCACCAGGCCCGCGGAGAAACAGGCCTACTTGCTGGGGTGGGGCAGGGAGAGAGAGCAGAAGGTTCCAGAGCACCAGCTCAGGGTGATGGGCCCCCAAGTCTCCCAGGGCTCTCCTGCACGACCAAAATGGTCCAGACCTGGATGGCGTTAAGACGGGCAGCCTTCCTTTGTGAGCAGTTTGCAGAATGTAGCCCTGTTACAAGAGGTCCTGAGAATAAACAAAGAAGCCTGCTTTTCTTAGTGTTCAACTCGCTCTGTTCCGGAAGCAGAACAGAAACATCCCCATGGCCGTGTTCCCACCCACACGCTGAGCACAGACGTGGGGTGAAGGAAAGGAGCAATGGGGGTGCAGAGGGCCCCGGGGAGGCGGCCTAACCTAACGGTGGGACGGGGAGGGGGGTTGCCACCGCCTGCCCCACCCAGCCTGGTACGCACAGCACCTGCACGCCCCCTCCTTCCTGTCTCATTCACCACATAAATACCCAGTAAGACGGGAGAGGCCATAGCAGTAACACTGTGTCAGCTCAACCCCAGCCCCGCCATCGCCCCACAGTCCTGCACACACGGCTTCACTCGGTCCCACACGCGTGAGCAGCTCTTTTCCAGTGTCTCCACTCGTCGTGAGCAGCACAGACGTGTGCTCCCGCTGTGCCTGCCAACGCCACCGTCTATCACAGGAAACGTGGGACCATGGTCGACGAGCACGCATACGCGTTCGGAACATCTGCATGGAGTTCTAGAGTTCAGCGTCTTTATTTATTCCTCAACGTCCGGCCAGGAGAGGCCTGGCCCTGCAGCTTCCGGGCCAGCACAGCGGTCTAAGATGAGGGGTGGCGGGTGGGGAGGGCGGCCACTCTTCCTCGCACGGGTGGTCAGGGTCTCTGCTGGGAGGCAGCTGGGACATCCAGGAGGGGACTGCGAACGGCTGTCACGGGGCACCGGGGTTCACTGGAGACGAGTCTTTAGGTGCCCTTTCTGAGAGGCACTGTCTGGACGGCATCTGGGTTAGAAAGGTCTCTCCCCTGGATGAGAAAAGGAGACAACAGAACAGCTCATTTCTGCCCTTTGGGTTTCTGAGTGCGTATTTCCTATGGCTCTTCTTACCCACACCCAAGAACATAGACCATGACCTTCGCGGAGCAACCTCGGTGGGTCGGCAAAGACCCTGACTTTAGCTGTAGCTCCCTGCACACCAGCAGGATGCATTTTGAAATATGTCTTCACTGATCTTTAGAGAGAGAGGAAGTGAGAGGGGGAGGGAAAGAAACATTGATGAGAAAGATTGATAGGCTGCCTCCTGCATGCCCCCTACTGGGCACAGAGCCCGAAACTCTGGCATGTGCCCTGACCAGGAATCGAACCCAAAACCCAGGTATGTGCCCTGATCAGGAATGAAACCGGCAACCTTTCAGTGCACAGGACGATGCTCAACTGACTGAGCCACACCAGCCAGGGCTACAAACATTTGGTTTAGGAAGACTACAGAACCTAGGTAACCTGAGGAATGAGGCTGTTAAATTTAGCCCCCAAATCTAGATGCACAGGTGCCCATTTCTCTTTATAATTGAAGGGAGGTGTTCAAACAGCATCTCATTGTTTGAGAAAGTCGTTTTCACATGTTGATTCCCTAAAACTGACACTTTACTACTGAACATTGCAGTCCTACAGGGTTTTTAAGGCATGGATGGAATTCACCTGAGAAATCAGGCAAAGGGGGAAACACGGCTGTGGGACAGAGGAGTCAGAAACGCAGGCACAAAGAGGACACAGGGCATTCTGAGCGCGCACACATTGTTTTGGGTTTTTTCCCTCCTATAAAGAGTCATCAGAAAACGAGAAGAGTGCTTTTAGAGAAGCAGGCGTTTCTTTTTTGCAGTGTGTGGTCTTTGCAGTGTTGTTGAAAGAAATACGACCTTTCTCTGAGGCATTTTAATGTTCTAGGGATGGATGCTGACTTCTGGAACTCTATGAGGTCTGCTCCTCCCCTTCTGTCTTTATAAGGAAGGGACCCTGTCTGTGCTCACGTCGGGGGTTGACCGCACGCATACAAGAAAGCCTGTCCCCCAGCACACACAGGGACCCCTCAGCCCTCAGAGGGCGGCCGGCCTTCAGAAGAGGCGCCCATCAGCACAGGTGGTGACAGGCTGCCTAACCAGTCTGCACGCAGCGCCTTACTGATCACGGCCTGGACCCAACAAGCCGGACACAGGCAGGGCTCCTGTCACTGTGGGTCACCTTGGGTGACTCACCAGTGACCGTCGTGACGTTTGTAGTTTGTCATTCTTAGAGAAAAATGGCCCGTGTGTTTCAAGATGTTTGTTGGGTTTTATGACGAAGAAAACTGCAAAGACGAATGAACTGAATTCTGGAATTGGATCTGAGAATCCAACAGTGATACTGAAAAGAGACTGTGCCTATGTCCAAACACTCCAACCTACCTGAGTCCCATCGTCCACATTATAATACCCACAGCTGAAAACGAGACAAATTAGGTTGCCATTGTTTTCTCATTTCCTGTTATTTTGATTAATGGAATTATTTCCCCAGCTTAACTGTTTTAAAATAACACTTAGAATAATAAGAAATCATGTATTAATCATAGTCTTTAAACTTTAGCAAAGAATCTAAACCAATCAAAACTCCAGTTTTCACGTTTTAGCAAAAATCAGTCTGGTCTTTTAAACCCCCAACCCCGGAGGTTGGGGAGAGAGGGTTAATTTTTTCCTTGGTTTTAAACTTTAATTTCTAATGTTTCACAACCAGTTATAGTGAAAAAACATTCCTCCACAACACTAAGAAACCCTTAGTTGTTGTTTTTTCTAACATCATAGGACAATGATACCCGCTTTGCAGCATATTATTTTCACAAAGGTTCTTTCTAACGATGACTATTGGTGATTATTAGAAATTAATCATGCTAAACATATGTCAACGCATCTTCAAAGTGACAACAGGCATAAACTGCTCCCCCATTTAGAAGTGTGCCTGAACTCTTAGCTACCTTTGTGAATAGAATTATCATCAAAACACAAGCACAGTGAGTGGCTTCATGCCCAAGAACTGGAAGAATTATCCCCACAGCTATGGATGCTTCGCCATAAAGACAGCTCCTCCCCTCCAGTGCCCAAGCCCTCTCACAACAGAGCAAAAGGATGAGACGCCCAGAGTACAGACAGTGTGCCCACTAGCCACCCACCGGCAGCCCCACTACTGAATCCACAACTTGAATTTCCGTCTCAGTGACCCTCCCACGCTGTCCATCAGAGGAGTGTGTTGTGAAGCAATGACTACACTTCTGGGAGCCCCACACCAAGGGCATGCTTGTAACCCAGCAGAGGCTTAACCAGAGGACGTACAGAAGAGAAATCACAGTGGAAACCACATCCAAAGGAAGTCCCTTCCCCTCTCCTCGGAGCTCGTGTTCATTCTGACCTGACTGACTTCCATCAGTTTCCGCCCATGTTCCTGGACCTCCTGCCGGACCCGTCTCACTGAGGTGCAGATGTGTGAGGACCCGTCTCAATTATCCAGCACAGAAGACTCAAGTGTTAACAGGGCAAAGGCAGCTGATCTCTGGGTGCCCATGTAATGATGACGTCTCCACCGACATACGGTCTTCTGAACAGAGAGCCACGCAAGGAAACGACGTCTAAGCTGACAACACTGTTCCCAAACTAATCTTTCACTGTCCCCTCCCAATAAGGGGCAGCTAGCTAACAGCCTGCAAAACAAGACCACGCATGCTGCCAGGTTCCGACAGGCCGAGGACACCCAGGAAAGCACAGAGGCATGGAGAAGAGTCCCAGCTCATCCGGCAGCAGGGACGGGCACGCGTACAGAGGGAAAGGTGTGCGTCCCCCTATTCACCCACATGCACGGCCCCCGAGGACTCACCCTGCACACGAGTCTCCCCCGTCAGTAAGGACGGTCATTCGTTTTTAGAATAACTGACAAGAGCTACGACTGAAGTGTGCCGGGCACGGCCCACTTTCTATGTTGGTTTTCACAGTAAGAATACAGGAAGTGCCACTGTGGTCCTTATTTTATAGATGGCAGACTCGGGCGAAGTTAACAGGCAGAAGGTCGGAGTTAGAGCCAACCCTGCCATCACCCCATTTCTCGGGTGACACTTCAATCCTGGCAGACACTTCAATTCCAAAGCAGGTTAAGGAAAATGGAATTTCCCTAAAGGACCAGAACAGGCAGTGATTAGCCAACAAAAGCTACTTCACACACAAGGACCCGAAGTGCTCTCAGAGCCGGGATCTCGAATGCGGCACTGAGCCAGCGAGCTGCCCGCACAGGAGGGGCGTGTGAACCCGGCTCGGCCTTCCCATCGCCGGCCTGAGCTACCCCTGTCCTGAGCCCGAGGAGGACAGCTGACCACGGGAGCCTCCCACCAACAGTCCCTGCGTCACTGTGGGCAGGAACCGGGAGGTTAGTGGGGAATAAGTATAAAATAGCAGAACGGAGTTTATAGAGACAACGTAAACGCATCTTTTCTCCGTCAGAGTCCAGGGTGACTAACGCCGCTAAGAATTCTCAGCATAACTATAAGCAACACAGAAATGATTTAAAACACAGGCCGGGTGGCTGGCTTTACTGAGCTACTTCTCCCCATGACAGAAGCATTTTAAAGAGGCTCCCGCAGAATTAATAGGCAGCAAATAAATGGATGTATGTTCCCAGAGACTCGCTGCGTTATTCCTATCTGCCTGGGCTCCCACCCCTGTCAAACACGCATCGAAAAGCCACGTCTCGGGTGGATTTAATGGGTCGTCTGTGCACGCAGGAACCCTCTGGACTGACTCATGGTGTCATCTCAATATGTAATTCTCCAATTATGGCACGACCTCGCTGAGACGCAGCCACAGACGCAACGGTGCCTCTTGTCACCGGGGCTGATTTCTGTTAAAAAGGACAGTGCTTCGAGCCGAGGTCACATGTGTTGGGAAATCTTCTAATTCGGCATTCTGCAAGCTGTTATTTATTTCATAAGTTGTCACAGCATCATGAAATAACTGCTTGACATTCTAAAACTATAGTTTTATTAAAGAGAGAAAAGTCACTTAGTAAAACATGGTAACAAACGGGAAGGCATTTTGTCAATGACATGGGAAGACAGGCTTTGAACAACAATAGGAATTCTAAAAATGCAGAAATAAATTTAAAAACGGAAGTCCCTGGGCAGGTCAGTCCCTCGTTCACAGGAAGTCCTGGTGAGGTCCTGTCACCTCTTGCCATTCTCTTCCAGTGAAGAAGACTAGAGGATGCCTGCAGTCCCTCTGACATCCCATCCCCCTCATCGTCAGCAAGCAGGATGCCTCCAATGATTGGGTTTGCCGGGGCAGGGGCGCGCCCTTCCTCCCTCTCACCACCTGATGGGGCTTGATGTTTATCTGATGGCAAACACACCCCTGTGCATTCACAACGGGAGCGTCTGCAGTTTCAGAACGTCCTAAGGCAAGAATGTTACACAGAAAATGCTGGTGGGAGAACAAGAGGGAGGCAGTGACATTCTGTAGGAGGACAACAAGGAAGGAGAGCTTTAAAACCACGTGCCCTCAGCCCAGGATGGCACAGGGGACCACCGATGACGATGTCGAGTGCGTCCCCACTGCAGAGCAAGGCACACAGTCCCATCACCGCTGGTTCCAAGAGTTCCGCCATGCTGTGCAGACACCGAGTGGTTCGCATACAAAAGCCACAGGAGCATGGTCACATGTGCATGGACACGGATGTTTTTACACACCACAGCCGTGAGGTAGAGTGCGTGACGTGGAGGACACAGAGTAATACAAAAATATGGGTCTTGAGAGAGGAGACTAAGCATAATTTATTCTCAAGAAAACATATAAAAGCAGCCGGGGTGAGAGAGTGTGAATGTCAAAGGTCTTGGGCCCCACCAGTCTCTCCCAGTTCCCACAGCCCCAACAAGACCTCGAGCGGCTGGAATGACACTCCCAGTTTCCAGTCCCCTGCACTGGGCTGTCCTGCAGGCCTAGGCTCCACGTCCACGCCCAGCAGGTGTCTGCACGTCTGTCCCGAGAGAGAGCACCTCGGCTCATGCTCCCGCGACCGTGCTGCAACCCAAACCTCCCGTCACGCCCGTCGGGAGACCTACTTGTTTGGGGGCATCCGTGGAGGTGGCGTGGACGTCAGCACCTCGGAGGCCGTTGGACTCAAACACCACTGTGGGAACAAGGGGAGTGTTAGCGGCAACCGGGACCATTACAGATCAAGTGCTCCACACAAAAAGACACCAGCGCCTGGCCCAGGGCTGGGAAACACCAATTCACCATCACACTTCCGAAGGGCCTGTGATGCTGCCGCCCGGGGCCACTGCCCTTTTTAATTCAGACGCGGCTGCTGAAGAAAGCCTCACTGACAACATTAATTACCAGCCGGTGGGAAGGGACCCTCCTCCTGCCTCACTTACCATTTGGCCCCTGTCATTTCACATCAGACCGGCTTACGTGTGATCCTTCACACTTCTGAGAACGGACCCTCCAGCCTCCCGCTCCCGGTGGGTGACACACGGCTTCTCAGCCTGACACGGTCTCGGGGCCGCACGTTCCTATGGGCCCGGGGTCCGCACCCCTCCCGGGTGCCTCCGGAGGGTCCCGGCCACACCGTAGGGGGCCCAGCGCCTGTCACACTGACAGCGGCTTTGATTTCCATGAGTGCTGGTGGCAGCACAGCTCATTCGCATATTCATTTCTGGGGAGTCTACTCTCTAATTAAAACGAAACATTTGCAAACAGGCTTATCTCAAATTGAACCACATGGCACTTGATGCAAAGAAAAATCTGTTTCAGGAGAGCCTGGCGCACAGTCCCAGAAGGGGATGCGTCACCCTCCCCGCCCCCCCCCCACAAGGGCCTAGGTGTCCGCATGTCAAC